ATAATGCATCTGTAATGTGTCAGTTCACAAAGCTCCACTGCTGCATCTTAAGTCTCTTTAGCTTTTTTTTTTTCTCGTTCTTCCTCTCTGGGTATGTTACTCATTATAGTTGTTTACTTGCTTTCAAGTCTTCACCAGCAAAGAAGCCCTCTGGCCCTTTGCCCATGGATCCAGTGAATGTGGAAGAAGGAAGCAAGCTGCCTCCACAACTTCTTGAGCTCTGCTCTGAGGTAAGAGTCAGCTTTCTATGATATTTTCCCTTTTTTTCCCTATACAATATTTATTTACAATCTCACTCAGTTTAACATGTTGCCCCCCTTCTTTCCTACTTGAATGTGAATACTTTATACTGCCCATATTAGCCACAAGCATAATTTCTTATGCGTATCCACTGTAGTAACTGTTCTTATTCGATTAGGAAGTCATGAAAATGCTTTTCTTTTCACAGGATGTAAAAGTAGATAAAAAGATACAGCTTGACCTAAAAGGGTAAGATATAATATTTTTATTTGGATGTAAGATTACTGCACAGTTTACAAAAAGTGACTCTTGATGTACTGAGGGTCAGATGTTTTGGAAGAACCTGAGAAACAGATGAACAAACAAGTGCACTGATGTCTGAACACAGGTACCGTTCGTCTCTGAAGAATATGACGGTAAATGAGGACAAAGTGGCCAAAGTGGTGAAGGATCGCATCTTCTCTGCAACCTTCCACCCCTGCACCAGCAGCCTGTTGCTGGCTGCGGGCGACAAGTGGGGGAAAGTGGGACTCTGGAAGTTGGTGAGTTTTCTTTGCCTTAACTATGCATTAGTTCTTGACCACTAGATGGCAGAAAGTGTCTCAACAGTAAAGCTTCATGTCAGGCTGCAAAAATTCACAAGTGTTCTCCTCAGGCTAATTGGCCTGCTTCATGTTTGAATTCAGGTTTGTTTTTTGGGTTTTTTTCGCTCTGAAAATCTTTATTTATTTTAAATGAATTCCAACCACTGATTTACTGCATGTGTATGCTCTTCTAGGGTGGTGACTGGGGTGATGATGGTGTCCTGCTCTTTGAGCCCCACACCCGTCCAGTGGGCTGCATGGCATTCTCCAAGTCTCATCCCACACAACTGCTGAGCCTCAGCTACGATGGATCCCTTCGCTGCATGGACGTAGAGAAGGCTGTTTTTGATGATGTAAGATACCTTCATTAGTTTAGTTCAATCTGGTTACGTTGTGATCCACGAATAAAAAAGGTTGTCCGTTTTCTAGGTGTATGATATTGAAGATGGCCTGAAAACGTTTGACTTCATGTCACATGACTGTTCGACACTAGTGGTCGGGAACTGGTATGGAGAGGTTGCCATTGTTGACAGGCGCACCCCAGGGTGAGATAATGACATAGTCTTAAAGTAATGAAAGTAGTACATTTTCTTTTCTTTTAAACAACTTTAATGTTGCACTCAAACATTTTTATAAGTATGTTATTTCATCTGCAGAAACTCCCATGAATCCCTCCACACACTGGACCCCAAGACATTGCGTTGTGTTAACGTCCACCCTTTACAGAAGCAGTACTTTGTGGTGGCTGAAAGCAAGTATGGGCTTTTTAAATTTTTTATAATGTTTACACGTCTCTTATGTGAATCTGTCTTTAAATTTTAAGTGTATGCTTTGTTTTTTTGTTTTTTTTGTGTGTGTTTGTGTGTTTTGTTTTTTTTTTGGCAGGGTAGTTAGTATTTATGACAGTCGAAATCTGAAGAAGACCAAAAGCCAGGCAGTGTCCCAGCTGCATGGCCACTCTTTAAGCATATCCAGTGCTTATTTCTCCCCTTGTACTGGAAACAGGGTTCTTACTTCCTGTATGGATAACAATATAAGGTGAAGCTGATGGATCACTGACATGCTGTATATGCTTAATTTTTTTTCAGTTCCAACACAATGTCCTTTTTTCTTTATTTATTTTAACAGGATATATGACACATCTACACTGACTACTAAATCTCCCTTGCTGACAACCATCAGGTACATCCACTAAATTGAACTTTAAACTTTTCCTGTTCTTTTAAGTCATCTCTGTGTTAATAACTGTGTACTTTCAACATGCCTTCTCAATCTAAATTGGCAGACATGACATGCAAACAGGTCGCTGGCTGACCAAACTATCAGCTGCGTGGGACCCCAAACTGGAAGACTGCTTCGTGGTGGGGAGCATGATGAAGCCTAGGAGGGTGCAGGTGTTCCATGAAAGCGGTCAACTCCAACATTCCTTCATGGACAGTGAGAATCTGAGCACAGTCCTCTCTGTCACTGCTTTCCATCCTACAAGGAATGCCTTGCTGGGTGGAAATGCGTCTGGACGCCTTCACGTCTTTTCTGACTAAATTGAAGACCAAAAAAATGTCTGATCAGCCGGTCTTGGTTCGGTTCATCAAGGTAGCAGGGACACAGTTTGGTAACAATTTGGATTTTCAGCCTATCAACTTCTAACTAGACAAGTCTTCCAATATAGCATCTTCATTCTGTATCTCACTAGAGCTTTAAATACATTACTATTCTTATACTAAAGCAAAGTAACACACCTGAAGCAGTGAAATGAATCATATCAAATTGTGAGTCATATTCTTAGACACGTTGCAGTGAGGCAATGCAGGATCATTAGCAAAGTAGCAGAATTTTCTTCCTCACTGCTCACAAAATACACATTTATAGCTACATTAGATTTAAACAAAGGGATTATCTTGTGCTTCCTCTCATTTTACACCTTATAATATTTAGATTTGTTCCAGTTAAAACTTTCATGCCAACTGAAATTTGGAATGGAACTGGATGTGGTCTTCTACTGTTGGATCCACTTTGACTCAACATGCTGTGTTGCACTGTTTAATGTGTTGTTTTAAGTTGCTGTTGTCAGTTTAAAGCAGCTTGGCTCTTCTCAGTTTTACTGTTAATTTTTCCCCATCCAGACATTATACTGCACACTGGATGTCTGCCACATGATTGTCTCACTAAATCTTTGCATTAATCTTATTCAGTAAAGTGTAGGAAACAAATGTATTCTTTTCTCCAACCTACTGTAAGTCGATGCTTCAGTTTCATGAAGACTGAATGAGCTCAACTTCTCAAATGACATGAAGCCTTAACTCCAGGATAAGCCTGTTTTGAACACACTCCTGTGTTTGCAATTGTGTCCTTGGTAGATGTCAGACACATTTTCCTCATGGCTGCCTTTTTTGTCTTCTTTCACTTATTCTACCCAGTGTTTCTTAAAACTGTCAGACTTGCAAAGAAGCATGCACACAGCAGGGTGCTGCCGCTGCAAGACCTGAATTGTTTTTCTTTTCCATGGGCAGTATTCAGAGAGTAGTCATACAAGCTCAGTTTAAAGCTTGTGTGGCTGCTCTCTGGCACATGTAGACCTGCGTTCTATTAGTGCCTCCTGACTGTTTTTAGTGTCTTCAAATATCCTTTTTCTCCTCTGAAACCTTTTACTCTGACAGATTTATCATGTTTGTCATGTTTATTTGGCAGGGTAACGACTAACCAACTGTTCATCTATTGTTGTTGACAGGTACACTTCCATGATCACAACCAGTTTTGACACAACTAGTGACAGAGAAACTTAATGTCTTATATTGCCACAAGTTACAGTAGGTCAGTGTGTAGACTGGTTTATTTTGATATTTGGAGTTTATTTGGATTTTCTTTAACATAAGAGTCCAATTTGAAAAATTCATGGTTTATTATTTTATGTAAGGTTTATGTGATGTAAATGTCATTTCTGCACTGAGTCTCTCTGTCAGTGAAAGTGCTTTTGGAAATGCCTGTTATGTGTTAATTTCATTTGTTTTCTCATTTGTAAAGTAAACATAATAAATAGACATTTTATTACAAAATACTGTACACGTGAATGCTGTGAATCTCACCAGTAGTGACAGCATCATTATCACCTGAAGCTGGTAAAATAAGGTGTGTGCGTGTGTGAGAGTGAGAGAGGATTGACCACACTTTACTGTTTTCAAGCAGGGATGCAATGAAAAACTCCACATGGTGCTGATCTGGGTTGCACTGTTCACTGAATTTCACACTAAATGCTTTTATTTACTGCTTCTGTGACTTCAGAATTGAACTTGTAGCCAGACTAGCTGCCAGTTGTCAAGAATAGATGATATTTATTCATAAATAGATTACACGAGTCCTCCTTCAGTGATTGGAAATAAGCAGTCTTGTTTGGAGGTAATAAATGCAGGACACATGCTTACAGAGACATTTCCATGTGCAGGGCCATGGTACAGGAAGGAAGCTTACTGTAAGGCCATGTCTGAGGCCTTGTTTACATCATTCATTAAACTGAAAACAAGAGTTGCTTATTAGTGGAACTGTTACCCCTTGGTCACCGTGCCAGTGAACTACATTGCACAAGGAAAGGTTCAGGCAGTTAAAAATGCTACTAATGCTGTTTAAATTATTTAAAAATATACCTGTTTTCTTCCATTGGAAATCTTGACCATGCCGCCAGGTGTTAAGTTGTTTCTGCCAAGTAAACCTGTATGTGATACATTTATAAACTCAGTCAAAAATTAGTCTAAGATTAGACAACCAAACACGATTTACATGAAAAGATTTTTTTGGAGAAGTTTCTGTATCGCAGGGAGCGGTCTACCACTGCTGGTACACGCATACATCTGCAAACCGTTTCACCTTTTGAGGGGATTTAAAACAGTTTGTGTGACTCAGACAAACATTTTGTAGTTTACGGTTATTACATCTGACATTTATTGCTCAGATTGCTTTAGTTGTAGATTTTTCGACATAAAGGTGAGTAAAAAGCTAAATGTTCTCCTTTACTAGCCATAGTTTTCAATACACAATTGCCTCGCATCAATCAAAAACCACAGAACACCATTTAAATTAACCTCCTAAGACCCGAACTCTTTCGCATTTCCTGAACTCTTTCGCATTTTTAATTTCGCTTTGCTATTTGGGCTGATTGGG